TGTGTGTGTTGAATGTACCCATTTACATACTTTTTTTAAATTTTACATTAGGTTTCCTTTAGTTTGCCTGGGCTGGCCTTGAACCTGACATTCTCTTGGCTCAGTTCCTCTGAGTGGCATTAGAGCTGGGTGCCGCCTCTCCCTAAGCACACACTCTAAAGCTGAGCCCAGCAGCAGGTTGTTGTTTATGGAGCACTCCTCTGTGTCTGCAGTCTGCATGCTGGACAGTTGATTATTCCAAACAAATTAGACACTATTGCTTTGCCATGCAAGATGATGCACAATTTAATTCCAATGACCGTGTTTGCTGTTGCAAGAGGACCATGAGTCCCTGGCCTGTCATGATGGGGCTCTTTTCTCTTTCATCTATGTCTCCTGGATAAAACTCAATTAAACCCAGCAAACATCAGAGGCACCAGATCAACAATCTCTCAAGCCATCACCCTCTCCACCTCCTCTGGAAAGTGGACACTGCCTTAATGCTCACATCGCCTCTGACACCTCTACCTTTGTGAGCTCCTGAGGATTATGCAATGCCAGATACCCCACTTGGCTCTCCTTTTCCTCTCCTCCCGAGTTTCTGAGTTTTTCTGTTTTGTCATTTTCTTGTTTGTTTTATGTTTTTGTTATTGTTGTTTGTTTTTATGATATGATATTTCATTTTTGAGAATAGTCTGGTAAATTGGTAAATTTGGGGGTATATGATTTTGTGTTGTGATATTAAATATGTCATTTTTCATAATCTTAGATTCATTTCTATGTGCAAATTATTTTTAAATCATTCAGAACAAAGATAGTTGAGAAAGAGATAACATATTTACAGTAAAATTGTAATAATTATTGGATCTAAATAGTGAAAATACTTGTGCTCATCATCAGGCACTCAAGTGCATGTGTAATCCCTGCTGCTTTAGACTTGGGCAGTAAGATGGCAATTTTCAGAGAGCCTTTAACTTAGCAAACTCCTGTCTCACAGTAAAGTGAAGCTTGACGATGTAGCTCAAAAATAGTATATAGGTTTAATCCGAAGTAACACAAAGAAACAAACAAGAACTGGTGGTCTTCCAATTATTCTTAAACCTTTGTTTAAATGGGAAATCCCTCCAACAAACTTTCAACGTTGTAGTTACACAACATGGCCACATGGTGGCAATAGACTCACTTTGGAACTTCTGTAAGAGCGCTCCTGTGGTCAAAGGAGTAGTAAGAAACCAATACTTCAACAACATCTCTTTCATTGCTTCCTCTATGAGGAGAAATGTGTAAAACACTTTAGAAGGCAGGCATCCTTGAGAAATCTTAAAATACATATGAGAGATTAACATTCAAGTTGGCATATTGTAAAGTAGAAGAAACACTAAAGAAACAAGGATTAGTAACCCAGGAGAGATCTGGGTTCTAGACCTGGCTCTGCAGTAGATTAATTTTGTGACATGACCAGGAAAACTGTGACTAAGTCTCACACATGAAATGAGGATCTTTGGCTTTCTTTCCACCTGTAAAAATATTTGCTTCCCT